GGTTGCTTACGCCTTTGGTGGTGTCGACCAGCAGCAAATATATGCAAATATATAAGTCTACAAGTCAAACAAAGAGACACCACCTAAAATTGGCCTTTGATGGCCAGCCTTGTTTGGTCCTAACACTGTTACTGCTACTACTACTACTTCTATCATTAATGATGCCATATGGTTTGCAATGCCCTACCGCTGTACTTAGCAACGAACTTGCTCATTATTTATGAAGCTTCGTCTAATTTGATCTAATATCAATTCAGTATAACTTGTTTGCCTTACAGGGAAGATGGTGAGCGGTGAGTGGCTGTATGCGGGCCGTTCGGGCGGAGGCCATCATTAGCCTCTTAGCACCATCTGCATTGTGGCAATCTCCTCCACTAACGGACGGAGCCGGTAAGCCCGACATCATGGACAACCGCTAAGCACTAAACGGCTTCGGCCACCCCAACCACCAGCGGCCCTCCCTACAGCTCCCTCTCTCTCAACGATTACAATTAGAGATAACTATTTTAACAACAACAATAACAACCAACGACAATAACAGCAACAACAACAATAACAACAACAACAACAACGACGACGACGACGACAAAAATAGCAACAGCAGCTGCAACAGCAACAACAAGATAGCGACAAGACGAAGTTCAGTTAAGAACAACATTGACGAAGATACGACATCAGTATCAGCAAAGCAAAACTCAGACTTAAGAAGAGCTGCAACGACGATCGAGCATTCAACAGCAGCGAAGAGAACAATGTTATACAACATCCACATCATCGAAGTTAATTTGTGACATCAATCAATCAGTTGAATTAACTATCGGAAGATCAGCCTTTACTTATGTCTTCAACTGGCAAGCGTTCAACTTTGAATCGAGCGTTGAACCATCATAACTAAGCGTGCGCGTGCAATTTGTAACTTCGCCACCGTATCATTTTCAGAACTGCTGTTGCTAATGTCTTGAACAAACGAGAACAACGAGCGACTTCAGCCTCTCACAGGATGAAACAGGTAAAAGTGACAGTAGAACCGTTTCAACGGTCGAACATTTAGCGTTCGTCGAATTTCAATGACACTGTTGACTAGCTCGAAGATGAACACCTGACAGATAATGAAAAACCACACATTAAGTAAAAGCTGACCGTTGTAAGTACCTGTGTTAGCATACTCTTAATACATATGTAATACCAGTAATAATTATAATAAAACATGATTAAAGAGAAAACATAAACCGCAAACGTATGTATACGTAGTATTACCACAGATGGTTTTCCACCCCGCAGTCTATCTGCACTTTCCGAAAAACCACACACGATGAATTTTGAAAAGTTAGCAAAGACTCGCGTATTAACACTCAATACGAAGAAGACGCTATTACATGATTAATTTCTTTTTTCTCGATCTGGTGTTATTTCAGGGCATCTCACTTTTCAAACTTGCAAATCATTCATTTGAACGTGATTTTTGTCATCCGGACATCCAATGAAAAGCCGCATGTTCTCGTGACTTTATCATTAGCTCGAAGATTAGTTTAGCGTGCAGAACAATTTAGTGTGCAACTATCCTCTTTCGGTGGCTGCGTTGTTCGTATTTAAGAGTGAAGCGTCCAAAACAATCTGAGCCAAGTGAAATCAGGCCAGATTCAAAGGGCTGTCCCTACGATTGGCTTTGAAGTAGCTCGCTAGAAGCAGAAGCTGGAAAAAGGCGAACAATAAAAAACGTGGGTCGACACAGAGTACGTCAATTGCCCCGCTGTTTAGATGAAGTACCATCAGTTGGCTTCTGTGTCTACTCCGGCCGCTGTCTCGACGTGGTTTCAGGACGAGCTGGTCAACCGGGGCGTAGACGCAGCCTATACTTACTACGTTTTATCGCTGTTGAAGGAACCCGACGGCGACGACCAATACTATTACTGTCCTTCAACGAACGCAAACAAGACTCCATATAATCCGCAGGCAACGAAACCCGAGCGGCGTAGACTGCTAGCTAAGCGGTGCGCCATCGAGTGCCTCAAAAGTGCGGCAGACTCAAACGAGGAGTTTGACGCCCTGGTGGAAGAATTACTTGCGCGTCTCGAGCCCACTGAGGACGCTGAAGCGGACCAAAACGATAACCAACGAACACCAACAAAGAAGACCCCGCTAACAGGCGATAACCGAAGACATTCGGTGGCTAGAGATCGGCTGGACGTAGACAAGGAGCCCCGTACGTTGGCGGAACTTGCCAAGAAATATTTTGACGCATTTCCTGCCCTGCAGGTGGACGAACGACCTTTAGTGAGTAAGACAAACGGCACCGATAGCATCTCAAAGGAACAGGATCTACTGAGAGAAGAGCAGCAGCACCAGCAGCAGGGTGTTTTTAAAGAACAGCGTAAGCGAAAGAAGAATAAACGCAAGAGTTTCTCACCAGCCCTAGGCCTCGCGGACGATTTCAAAGGATTATTTAAGATTGATCGTACTAAAAACAAAGGCTGGGGACAATCGCCGGGACATCTTAAAGCGAAACCTGATTCAATATCAACGGGAGCTACAGATAAAATAACTACTTTTAGAAGTACAGCCAACATTCACGAAACCGATATGGGGTCAATCGTACGAGAGGACGCACTGCTTTCGCGTCTCACCCAAAAATTCGATTCGAAGCTTGCAGCCATCTGGGCTGATGCGCCGACTGTTGATCACCAATCATCCCTATGGAAGATATCATTGGACCTTGGAGGGAAACCCGGTGGACGCACAGGGGCCGATCGAGCCTGTGACGAGGTTATTTTTAGCATCCCAAACTTGTCAATCTTCAGTAAAATCCTCGAGGACGATGATGATTCAACGAATAACGTTGTAAAGAGCCAGTATAATTGTAGTACGGGTACCGGCATCATCGGGTCGGATTTCATCTCGGAACAGATTTTCGAATCACACCCGCCTCCAACTATTTGTTTAAAGAATTCGGCACTCAACTACGACAAAGACAAGACAGCTTTTACTGAGGTAAATTGCATACGCCCAAATCAGAGATTTTCGGCAAAAATGTTTCTCAGTAGGTAGTTACCTTGTTACTGCCTTTGATGCGATCTGATTTTCACATGTCGTGCGATCGTTAACGTTCAATAGCTTGTCCTAAAAACGCGTCCGGACGGTTTTACTGTGGCGAGCTGCGGTGACGTACTTGTAGCCAGTTTTTTCACGACAAATAAACTACACATAAGTTAGCAATCGTTAATATGCGCGAAAGCCTATGATTAGCGCTTGCGACTCATCAGGCCTATCATTATCAACAAAACAACGACGACAATGATAACAACAGAAATGAATAGATGTTACCCAAATTTTAACGAATAAATCCTTTTTAAAACATATCAGGCAGTCATTCTAATCCGGCCATGCGCGCTCGCACCCAAAGTGTACAGTTCTTTAATCTCTGCTAAGCCACACAGCAGCTTCATTAGAGAGACCCCTGCATGTTGACTATGTGTATCCATATCTATGTAAAGCTGCTGATGTAAGCTATTTGTCAATTCTGACTGTTTAATGCTACGCTAAGTGCCACAGGTTAACATATCATGATGTCTATTAAAGCGGCCAGCAAATTCATCTCAGTACCTAGTTTATGTGAGTATATAAAGAAAGCAGTTACTAATTCAGACTTTGTGTTCTATATCCAGTCTGTATATACGTAGGTATGCAACAATGAATGAGATCTCGAGTTGTTTGCTGTCAACGCTGACTCAACCTTTTCCACTTGGATCTCAATATTCACCTGGATGCCTGGATTGGGTTTTAGGCAAATAGTATGTCTCTATAATGTCGCCAGTGTGTAGACGGTTCGTCACTATCATCGTCATCGTAATCATTTGCATTGCAATGCATCATCAAGCGAATTGATAACATTCGAGTTATTCTTTTTATCGTCGTCGTCGTCGTCGTCGTTTTTATTTCAGGTGATCCCAACACGCAAGTTTAGCGCAGCTAACCGAATCTTGATGGGCGTCGAGAGAAGTGTACACGATAGTCAACATACGCAGTATCATTCCATCGGCGGAAACCCTTTGGGACCAGGCGTCGCTGGGGGCACATCAGCAGTTGTGTCCGCAGCTAGTAGCGATCCTGCCATCGACAGCAATAGCAGCCCATCTACCATCGACGACGCTGAAGATTTGCTCGTGTCCCCGCGGACTCACTTCACACCGATCCGTGTGGAACCCGAGCAGGCGAACCTCGACGACGAAAACAGACCGCCCTCTTCATCTCTAGCAGAGCTCGCTTCGTACCACTTGCTGCCGGAACCGCCCCGACGTCACCAGCACCAACAACAGCTGCATCATGCCGCCACCTCAGCTGCCAGCCACACGGCGCCTGCTGTCACCGCTTCCAAGGTCTCTACGTCTTTGAAAAACATCGCTAACAGCAGCAATACTAACGGCAGCGTTTGTGCTGCTGCTGCTGGCGGCACCACCAAGCAACAGCGCTCTCTGCTTAAACAACAACAAAAATTAATTCTACAGCAACAGGAGCTGCACAAACAGCACCAGCTGCAAGCTACAGCACAAACCAACCTAACTAAAGTGACCTCAAATCAAAAACAGGTGCAAAAGCTGCAGCAGCAATACCAGCAGCAGCAGCAGCAGCGGAGGCAGCAGCAACAGCAGCAGCAACAGCAACAGCAGCAACAGCAACAGCAGCAACAGCAACAGCAACAGCAACAGCAGCAGCAGCAGCAACAGCAGCAGCAGCAGCAGCAGCAGCAACAGCAACAGCAGCAGCAACAGCAACAGCAGCAGCAGGTTCTGCTTCAAATTGGCTCTTCTGCTAGTAGAGCTTCCGTTGCTATCACCGGAACTGCAGCGGCTTCAGCAACGAGCATGGTCACTCCGTCTGCGGCAGGAATTTCGACGGCCTGTGCCAGTCATAATGATAACAGCAACAGCAGCAATTATTCTAGCAATAACAATGAGCAGCGGCAACTGGCGCAACAGCAGCGGATGAAGGATATAAATAAACAGCAAAAGAGTCGATCTATATCAACAACAACAACAACGGCGGTGACCGCCGCCGCCGACACCACATTGGTAACCCGTCCCGCGAACGCTGCTGCTAATAGCACCATTCGCAGCACCACAGCTACGAGCATCACTCAAGACGAACCCGACAGGGGGTCCCCACATGGCGTTGTAAAATGTAAGCGTAAACGAAACGTAAAAGTACATTTCGTAAAAACTCTGACGTGTTGTCATATCATGTCAGGGTTTCTCGGCCAACTATTAGCTCATATTTTATTGATCGTGGGTGATGATCTCAGTTTCATGGTTTTTCAATGTTTCTATGTATTAGTATGCACCTATTGATGTTGCTGTAACCGTCCGTGAATTATTTTTTGCCTCTAATTTACTGCCGCATAATATATCAAATTCACGAGCTTGAAAGATGTAAACATGCGAACTGCTGGTAATGGTCTTAAAGTAGGAAGTAAATCTCGGTTTTGTTTGTTTTATAGCAAACTTTTTAGCCCTACGAGCCCTTTTTAACCTTACAGCCTATCGCCGAAAGCTCCGTGCGTTCTATTTACCCTGTGACCTCTATGGCAAACACCTAAAATCAGCTGATTGAGAACAGTGGCACCGTTTTAGTGGTGCCTGATAGAAAGAAAACCGTGACTTCAGGTCGCCGATAACTTTTGTCTTATCAGCCACCACAATTATCATCACTACATTTTGAATCAGCAAGACTAGTGGAACGCGTAGATTCATTGTTAATCTCATCTGTGTCTTTTATAACCTTTTACCTCCACTATAAAAAATTTAGCAGTGTTGTCCTATTTATCAATAGTTACCATTAACTAGCAACAGATTGCACTAGTCGTCTACTACCGAGGTACCAGCTGTTATTATTACAGCTGCTGTTGACGCAGCTCGCTAGGATGAGCTGTGAGACGATCGGCAGTATCCTGATCATCAAATGATTACCGATTGTCACAGAAACGTGGCAGTGAACGTATCGCAAAGGCAATTCTATTTAGAAGGGTCACCTGTAGCTGGGAAGATAAACGCGGCTGTGTACATGGCCGAAAAGTGGCACGCTCCAGATGGTCCAACAGGCACACAATCTTGTGCTGACAGCTTTGGCAGTCTTTGTGCAGTGGTACACACGGTCACTGCCGAATAACAACGCGATGTAATGGAATAGAACGCTGGAGATCACCATCACTGTCGACAGACGACGATTCGACGGGGTACAGCGGCCAACCGTGAGCGCTGCCTGGTTTGCCTTTTGGACATCCTGTTGTTGTGCTGTCAAATTTCGAGTTATCGAAGTGAATCAATGAATGATTCATTTTCTGGGTGTCGACAACTGACTGACTGTGAAGTTCTTACTGAAAGAAGCAGAATGAGGCCCCACCGATGCTTATGTGGCTGGGATTGTTATAAGAAATAAGAGCTCATTCATACAACACTGTCGCAACCCAATTTGTGAAGATTTGGCTGCCGATAATTTTCATTGTATCGTAGGTCTTTAGCCATACGATGGATTGATTCTTTCTCTAGAAACACGATAATTTACCTGAAGGATTTTAATTAAGAAAAGGCGGTAAGAGGCGAAATCAATCGCTATCCATCCCATTGAGTAGCCCGATATTTGCGGCTTTGTGCGAAATTAATATGGACATTTTCCATCTGTGAACGATCTATAAGAACGATATTCTTGTTATGAACATTATAGCTTGCGATCACATGCTGCTTTAGGCTACTACACCACATGTAGAAACCTATGTATTTTCAGCGGAGGGTGAATTTAGATAGTATCATATTCGATCATATGACGAGATCAATTGAACGGTACGGTGCACGGCAAGATGAAAATTTTGCCGATAAGAATTTGGAGTCGTAATTGACACCATCCTTAGCGACAGAATGCTGGCTATGGAATCCTTTGCTAGCAGACAGTAGGATATAGCTACAGAAGGATAGGTATCTGTACAGTTAATTATGGCGTTATTAGAGATATCTTCATGTAACACAGTATTTGTTATTGGTTGAATGATCATGAATGATGAGAAATTACCTTTAACGCGTGTCTTGTTAATGTGATTGTGTGTGGGCTTCTTATTGCTCAGGTGGGACCGCTTTGGATGACGTGGAAGTTCAGGCCCTGTGGAAGATGGTAAACTTTACGCTGCCACAGGCCCCCGCTGTGAATAGCGACGCAGACATCTTGGGGGTAGCACACTGTTGGCAGACTGCTGGGCCCGCGGTAACTTCTAGCGCCGCATCCAAGGAACTACGAAATGAGATCCATGACGAACAGGAGGAGTTATTCCTTGACATTATGCTTGAGGCACGAACCTTGCAGGCACTACAAGCAAGCCAAGACGCTCAACAACAGCGTATCGCAAGAATTCATGCACAACGAGTACAGCAACGCCGAGAACAGAATCAGGATGACAGCGACAAAACGTCTGCTTGCTGCAACCGTGAAGATCGTAATATAACAGGAGCATCGACAACAGCTTCTACAGCAAGCGGCTACGAGTCATCGTCGTACCATGGTGAGCAAACCGGAAGGCATACTGCCCGCACCGAATATTTCGTTGGCCAAGATAATAACCATCATTAATGTAATGTAATGTAACTGCAGAGAACACTACATTGAATGCACGTTTGTATCGGAATATGCGGAGATTCGTGTCGCGCCGTTGATCGTGACCACCTGGGATTAACATCCCACAATATTTCCTGTCGAATAGTAGGATTTTGTTCTCCATATATGAATTTATTTACACGTTCCAGTAAACTTTTTGTCCTATTGGAAACAACAAGCATATGTTTTATATTTAATTTGCTCTGCATTCGCGTTTGCTGTATATACAGTGCATATCCACGTTAGTTGTTCCTCCCATAAAATTTTTCGTAGTACTAGTTCGTAGGTAGTTCGTTGTATTTGTATTCGTCGTAATAACTATTAGCTCACATACATATGTCAACATTTGTCATCTACGCTGCGTAAAATGTGGGGCAATTGGGCACTTTTAGATGCTTCTTTGGAGTACGGATCACTGCCGGGCTGCGAGGAGGACAGGGGGGTGGCGGACTTGAGCTGTTCGTTGGGCTACTCGGAAGATTCATGCGGGGTGCCCATCGAGTATCTGTCGCACTTCTCATCGAGTGTATCTACGATCACTCCTGTGGCGTCGTGCCTATTCGCTTCTCCCGAAACGTACGATTCGGCTATCATAAACAGCGTACGATGCATACAGGACTTGCAGCGTCGACGGCAGCGAGCGCAGCGTAAGCCGTGCACGTTCTACATGGAGGGCAACTGCCGTCGCACCGACTGCAAGTTCAGCCACGAACTTGCGGCCATTACGTGCCGCTTCTGGGAGGAAGACAGTTGCTTCAAAGGTCTTGCATGTCCCTTCCTGCATGGTTATCCGCCATTCGAGGAGGAGCTCTGTAGCCAATCCGTCGGCCAGAGCCTGGCAGCAGGCAATGTCGGGCCTAATACCGGTAATACACACGGAAGCCACCATCAGCATGGAAATCATCACCATCATCACCACCATCACGGAAACGGCCACCCCAAGAAGGATACAATTGGGCATGTGGCCAAACGAAACAGCAAGTTTACCATAGGTAAGTCGTAGTACTATATAAAATTTTGCTCTTACTGCTAAATGACAACAACAACATTGTCAACTTATTAATACAGCGGCATGCATTTTAGACACTTACTTGAGCAAAGCTATCTTGTGTGGTTTTGTTGCCTGTCGGAACGGGTAAGATATTCTGCTTTGTAAATAAAATATAATAATGTAATAGAGATGATCTTACCTAGATCAGAATGCATCCCTAGTGAACAACCAATATTCAAACACTACCTATCCTATATTAATAATGTGAAGTAATAAAATCAAGAAGCTCAGTATAGTGCAGAGGTAAGGTCAACCTGTTTAAACTCTCAGTAACAGATTCAATGATGGTCTGATCGATAATATGGCTATATTTGGTATCGCATTAGTATATATTCTATACGTGATATTAAGATCATATTAATTGGCCAGTAGTTATTACTAGTTTTATACAGAAGAGGCCTATAGTTTTTAACATAGTTGCTTGCAGCTTGCAGCTGTTGCCCATCGCCATCCGACCCTGCTCTCCAAGTTGAAAAGAGTAATACGTGTTTCCTATAATCTGTTTCTGCATTTCGTAACGCTGTATTTCTGACCCATCACTGAAGGATTAACCCAGTCTGACTGGTTGAATGACCACGAAATAATTTCGCCTATTCTCTCTTATATTAAACGATCTGTGGGGAAATCAATAAACCAAACCAGTAGAAAGAATTTTTTTTTTTTTAATTATATCCTCATGAACGACACGCATATATGCAACTGTTCTCACACTTCTAGAGGAGACGATCTCGTTTATATAATTTTAATTATGTATCTATATTTCTTGCTGTTTTTGTTTTCGTCAATTTTTTTATTATTTTTTATTTTTTTTGTGTCGTTTTTGCTGCGATTATGTTTTGTTGACCCATATTTACAGGGGGTGGGGGGTTAGATGGTGTGTTTTGTGGTAGTTCCTCGCAGCCAGGCTCACCCAGTGTCGCCACCCAGTTGAAAAACAGAAGCCTTATTCCACCATTGTCGGTCGCAGGGGTCGTCGGCTTACGAGTATTCTCGAGACGCCTGCCTGTATTCAAACGGTTTTGGCCCTACTTCAAAGGTAACAGCCACATTTGGCGATGCTCTTGGCTGTGAATGGAAGGGAGATTAGCTAACGCGATGGAAGTTTAAAGGGTAAAACACACATGAACTGTCAGAATTGCTGTTGTTGTAATGTGTTTTTTTTATTTGGGACATATGCACGTTTCGGCTGTATGCTCGTGCTTCTATAAGCGAGAAGAGAGGCTAGCTGGCAGGCGGTGAAAGGGAAAAATAAGCTAAGAGGATAAAATTTCGAAGACTCGGCCTCTTGTATCACTCTTTAAAATTGCTACCTATCATTAAGGTAATGATTATAATGAGGGCCAGAAAAATGAACGATTCATTCTTACTCTGATTTTCACACCTACTCCTTTTACCCCTACTTACTTGAAAACCAACGAACTATTGGCTTATACTTAAATAGTAAATGTACATGGTCCAGGCCAAATTATTTCAAATGCCACTATGGCTGTGTCTGAACATGCAGTTGGTACTATCAATCCCTCAGTGTCTGTGAGCGTGAAAGCTGTTAGGCGCTGCACGTTCTATATAGTTAAAAAAGGAATCTATTTCGTGTCTGCTTTTACTGTGCCTGCTGTCAGTGGCTGTTTGTTGTCTGACTGTCAAACTCAATATTGTTGAATGCCGCTGAAAGCTTTAGGTGAAGGACGCTTTTGGGCAGGATGGTACAGCTTGCGTTACAATACGCTTTTAATTATCCATATGCATAAATCTCTCTGCGTTTGAACAAGTATGATCTCGTTGGTCAATACAAAACTCACTAACAGTTGTTTTTTTTTTTTATTTTTTATGTATTTCTGTGACGTATCATTATCTCTCATTACAGAATCCGAACAAGACTTCCCGTCGCTGACTAACCAAAAGTCCAACGGTTATCTAAGGGCCGTCGCTAAGAAGAACTTGAAGAAGGCGAACGGCATTGTTCCGAAAAAGGCCAAAAAGAAGAAAAAGAAGCTGAGTTCCACCTCGAGCTGCGGAGAATCGAAAGCGGACACCAAAGAGTCGAAAGACAGCAATAACAATGGCGGCCAATCGGAAAACAATAAGGGCAATAAGAAAACTGATATACCACCTAACGCCATAAACTCTGTAACAATAACACTCGCTGCTGCTACATTGTCATCGAACGGGAACAACATCGTCATACCGTAAATTCGATTTGAACTTCGCTCGGTAGCATCGAAATCAAGATCAGTTAAGCTGAAAGATACACCGACTTTAGGTAGTGCAATTGTATCCAGACGCAAATGTGTCGTTGGCCGTCACGAACCGATGATGAAACAAATAAAACCTGTAGAGAAACAGATAACATTGAAAAACGTAGAAGAAAACGAGCGACATAAGAAATCCTATCAAATTATCATAGATAGTGTCAACAATTGTGCATTCATACGATGTCGTTGAGAAGTCGGGGGCTAAAGTTAGTCGATCGGCAAATCAATCTGTTTCGGACAGCGATCATGGTCATCGAAGTTGACTGAGCTTAACACAACTGCGGGTTAAGCTCTTAAAGTTAAGCTAGAGTGTAGCGCGATCGATGAAATTAAGTCTGATAAATCTAACACATTATGAGAGCCACGTCTCAAAAAGGCGTGTAGCGTAGTAATGATGAAAGAGTGATAAAGAGATAGGCACAGACTGTGAGGGATTTGAACAGATTCCTCGGCCAGCTGAACACGTCCTTGTCCCACATGGACTCCGATAAACGCAGATAGGACGAGTCGTCGTTGATCAAACTCTCTTCGCTAACGTTAAGGCTAACAGTTCGAACAAGCTAACATCAACAAAGAACATGAACATTATACGAAACATCAGAAAACTAAAACAGCCAGAAATAGAAATAATAGAGGGAGAGAGAATACGGGAGAACGGCCTGCTCCGTGGTCGCCGAGATGAGTTGATTGCCTAAGAGGGCCCAACAGAGGCCAGACTCGAGGGCCTCGCTCTAAGCTTGACGGGGGGCCTAATGGCTGATGAATAGAAGAAGTCGTTATCAGCACAACATGATTATGCGAACGAAAGTAAAACTAATGAAAAACTGTACAGACACAAGTAAGTGAAGGAAGGAAATAATAATAATAATGATAATAATGATAATTATAATCATAATAATAATATTAATAAGTAACAAGAATTTAAAATAATTTTCACACATGAAGGAAGAGGAGAATATGGAACAAACTAATGACGATGCTGAAGACGGATGATAATGATGACAGGACGAATGAAAATGGGAAAAACAAATTACTATGTACTAAATATTTCCCCCATCAGCTGTGTTGCACATATCACCCGCTAAGAACAGGTTGTCGGCGCCATGGCTATAGAGCACCCAGCAAAAAGCTGACTTAGGCTCCTACGAGAGGATATTCGTAAACCTAATCAGGGCGAACATTCAATGAAAAGTAAAAAGAAATTGAACTCAAAAATAAAAAGCAGACCTTGTGAATCGTTTACAGGAGGAAGTTAATTGGCGCAAACGGACTTCTTGATGGTTACTGAGTTGCGGCATGACAGACCGCATCTGAGGGGGGTGAGCATGGAAGATTTCAGCAAAACCAGAAAGATATGGAAGAGAAACCACGTTAATTTGGGCGCGTTGTGATGCGCACGACCGCCACTAATAATGACCTCTCACGCGAGTTCAACAGCTATCTAGTACTACCCCCAAAAGCTAGAGTAGGACGGCCCTAGCTGAATTTTCTTGGTTTGGTCTTAGAAAGAGAATAGATTTTTGATTTTTACTGCTGACAATAATAATAACAACCATCCTCAAACTACGTAAGAAATAACGGTGTTAAGAATACTTAAAACAAATATGCTATTAGTTATAAGGTAAAAATTTGCTCGTATTTTGCGGCTGTCATATTATTAGCAGTTATCAGACATTATATTATTATTATATTCGGTATTCGGTTCTTATTTAGCGAACGGATTAGCGTGTCTGAAATCTCCCCATTAATTTATATATGACTCAACCTGTGCTTCTTTACGAGTATTGGCGACGATGAAAGAATATTTGGGATACGAAGCAGGCATGGATACTTACGCCCTCAGCCCCTTTTCAATGTACTGTACAATGCAGCAGCGAACATGCTGCAACCAAATCTGCTAATACGCGAATTACACGCAAAGACTGTCTGAACGATGGCTCTCCGTAAATGTGGATAGTACGCATATAGACGCCCTAACAGCCGCCTTGTAGGTGAGCTACACACGTATTTCGCTATGAACCGATAGCTACAGACGAAGTAGCAGTAATGAATCTCTATGGTACAGCTAAACGGATCAATGGCAAACTGTTTTTCTCTAGTTACTTCGTTATCAGATAGGCAAGAACGGAACGCGGGAAAAATGGAGCTTGTTTCTCGCTGTTTGTTAGACATTTTAAATGGATCGTCAAGTTCGCGTCTATGACGAAAAACATCCGAAGGGAGAAAGTGAAAAAGATGGAAAAAAGGGCCGGCTGTCGTCGACGCTGTACAATAATCGGCGGCTTTGTTGATCCTGTTTGGGCTTATCTAATGTCTAGCATCTGTCCGCAGCGAACCGAGTTTCACGGTGACGTCCCCTCGGCCCGCGTTGCTGTTTGTATAGCACTTCTGTGAGGAGTTGACCCACCCACTCCCCCCCCCCTCCTCCCCCGTGCTTATTTCATTTCTCTCTTCTCTTTACATGCAAGTTAAGTGTGTAAGCTAAGTTATTCTCTTCAATAGTAATGATATAAGCTATTATTACAGTACGCATATTATGAAACATCACATAAAATAATGATGGTGTCAACGAAGATAATAACGATGCGTAATGATATTACTGTTATCACCGTCAAATGTAGGGTATTTTTTATAGCCTTATTTATAACTACTGCAATTAGAAATAATGTTAGTAGTAAAAGAATCGTTGAGACTGACCATCATTCCCCGTTTCCCCATCTAACGGCGCAACACACAGTAAAAATAATAGGTGTCATTATGATCATATAGAAAACCGTTTATGGAACGAGAAATATTGCATTCTGTTTTAGAAAATAAATAGCGATTAACAGTAAATAGAAATATATTTGGCGTGGGAAAAATGTGCGTCTGCATTGTGGCCAATAGTGATTTCAGCACAGAATGGCTGTTGTGTAGCGGACAGCACAAACTGACATGAAGACGAATTGTAGATTGGCGGATCTAAGAAAAACCCTAAATGCAATTATTGAGAGAAAATATCTTGGGGTACCGAACGAATTAACTTCACATAATTTACGAGGAATCGTGATCTAGACGTTGATGGTTACTTTGAATGATTGTGCAGCAGTCTTCGAAACATATTAGCACATTTGAAATAGACATAAGAAATTAGTAAAAATGAACAACAACTGAAATAATATTGGCGGCAACAACGATGACGACGATGCAAAATTGGCGCTAAAACGCAAAGCACAACAATAAATGCTTACAATGACTATTTGGTATTGCTGCTATCAAAGCGTAATGTCCTGGATGCGAGGTCCCCTCCTCTTTCACCCCACAGCCTTAAAACCTTGCAAAAAAGTAAGAAGTACGTCATTGCGCATGATTGCTATAAAGACAAACGTCGATACAAAATGGTAATGTGAATTAAATTGAAACTAAAATTGTTAGTAACGCTCAACAATCAATAGTAACCACTACACGTTACCTTTTTGCTAAATTTTTCCTAGCTTCTCTCTGCGGGATGTTCCGTATGCAAGTAGGACCGTCAGATTGAATACAAAAACCTGAAACTGAGGCCTAATCCAGGTGACTCAGTAAACGATGAGCTGAAGTTAGAAAGAGGATGTCCAGACTGATCACAACACAATATTAACAGTGGTGACTCTTATTATATGATACCCTCATAACATCGCTACAAGGAATTCTTAACAACACACAATACCTTTGTATCGCCGTATATATACGTACTGCTATAGACGTGCAGGGTTGATGTGGCTAAAACAACGGAATAATTTTGCATAGAAAGCTCCTCTGTAGAGACGGTGGCAAATTGCAGAATAATATATAAATGTAAAAGCTAAATTGCAGTAGACCGCTCGCCTGCTTTTATGAAAACAAAGAAGAGATAACGTTATTATAAGCAACGCTGGCAAATCACAATCGGTGGACATTTAGATAATGAACATTTAAAGAAATAACTTCATTTCACGGTAAAACGAAGAAAGCCTGTCGCATCTATATGGGAAACGTTTATTAGACTTACCAAGCAATTAAAGCCGGATGAAACGTAGGCCAGCCTCTCTATAGGGGTACATTTAAATAAACTCGTTAAACTGTGATGATTCGAAATGACGAGATGGAAAAGAAAGGCGGTTTGTCAAACAGGTAGGTAATGAAGATTTAGTTTAGACAAATGCAAGGGTGTCTACAAAATACGTTGGAAGGTATTGACTACAGTCGAATTGATTACTACGATAACTTGTCTGGATAAGCACGATGAGTAATTAGCACAGACAGCGGGTCGTTCAGTTCATCTCGGGGGGATCGATCAGATGCACGAGTCAAGTGGGTAAATATATAGCACTTACACCACGTTTTGACAATGGAATGTATATCGAGATAAACAGATCCAAAACAGACGCAAGTGCACAGAGAACAAAGAAGACTGTCTGACAGAATCTAGATAACAGATTGAAATCGATAAGGATGTCGGTGGCGATGCCTCTAATGATGCCGATTACGAGGAAAAAGAGTAACGAGCGGAAAAGCGAGCCCGTCAACATCCACACATTTGCTACGGGGTTCGACGGGCTCCGTAATTAACACCAAAGGCAACTCCGTGGTTAGCTGAGTTTTTTTCCATTTCCTACAGATCCTATAATCAGTATACTTGTCTATGCTAAACAAACAATAGCACTGTAAAATACATATTCAAATGCATCCATCGATCTAAGCTGTACATTACTGAGTGAGGCGTATTTTACTCTTTGAAAATTTGAAGATTAACTTTGTCGCACACTTCTAATGAAATTCTCACAACACTGACGATATTAAGTTTATTCTAGAGCTTCTAGTGGATATTGGGACGATGAGGCACCATACAGTAATGGCGACGTAGTTAACTGTCCCAGACTAAACAGAACCCATATGCGGATTTGACTTTTTACGGCGAGTGTTATGATCATCTTTACCTGAATTATGTGAACAGTTAGTGCACGAATAGCTTTCTCTCCGTTCTTAGAATTTCCTATGCGTATAACTGTGTTGTTGAACGCAATTGCTTTTATAAAACAAACGGCGAACTAAAATCATCATAACTAGCTAGCAAAACAGCACCTATTGTTTAATTTAATTACATTAAAATAAAAAACGCCAGCTCATTGTGCTGAACAAGCATGTACGAAAAATGGCATGATAGATTTTACGGTCAAGGACGGTCCACATTCTGCCGTTTTACGTCTTGCAAAGTTCGCTCGGATTTCGTGTCGTAGCTTCTTGGCGACCTGTGAATTATAAGGACATAGAGATAACTATACGAGTTCTACGTGCACACTCGTAGGAGATGCGCTAGAGGAGTTGCCTTACAGAGTTTTAATACAGCTGATAATTATGTCGACATGATTGCTACTGCGTCGTTATTTAGATTACTATTAATTAATATACTACAAAAATAAGCATATTGTCTGAAAGTACTCTAAACACACTTAGACAAACAAACATTTACACATGGAAAAAAATATGATTATAAGATTATATTATTACCAATAAAATGAAGGGTGCTGAAAATAATGAAAATGCAGAAGACACAAAACGTTGACAAGGCCCCATAAAAACAGGTGACCTGCGAGCGTAAAAGAAAAATAGTAATGATAAACGATACGAGTTCAAGGGGGTATGGTGTTCCCCTTAAGAGGGGCAACCCAAAACACGAAAAAACCAATGTAATGAGAGACAAGGTTTGCAGACGATAAATAGAACGAAAATACATGATACGCTATGAAACGGTAGCGAAACAGATAATAACAACAAAAAAATAAGTGTTAAAATCACGTAGAAAGATGAGGAAAAAAACAAAGAAAAAAATAATATTTAAGAAATACTACGTCGAAGACACTTCCCCGATCCCCCAACCCATGCAACTTTATTTACACAAAGGTTAGCATGAAAGTGTAATTTCGTTGTTATTCAATTTAACTAAAACTGAAAAAAATAGACTGACAATCTTCATATCACCATGTTTTGCTTGAAAATTCAAGTTTTGTCACTATCAGATTTTGATATATATATATACATAAAAAAAAAGTAAAAACACATTGGAATTTAAAGAGGCTAAATATTCCGCAGGTTTAATTACAAGGATCAATATATATATATATATATATATATATATATATATATATATATATATATACAAACGGTCTACAGCAAAGGATTGATCTTGTTCTGAAGACGTTTTCTTGTCTGACTCGGTTCTTTGTTTTATTCCTCACTTTATTTACTGATGATACTAAAACACTAGAGTCGCCCTCTAATTACACGGCGATAATACGACGTAAATGTAATTCATAATGACGATATATTGCTATTATTATATGCATTATTACATCTATTATATATGCGCAACAAACACGCATACCCAATTGAATTATTTTATATTTTTGTTGAGGTAGTGGTGCCAGTAGCAGACGACGCTATAATGTAATCCAGCGCAACGGTCATAACAAACGAACCGGAAGACCGAGCGGGAAATGCTGGCCTACGATGTGAAAGCAGGAAAGATAACGAAGTGCAAAACGGCTGAAACATGGACATCAACAAAGTTGAAATAGGGTAGCGTGGAGAAAAGACTGTTGTCATGCAGTTGCAGGATATGCAATTGCCCTAATGAAAACACTGAAAATAGAAAACGTGAAAGACGGTTAAGAAAGCTAAGAAGATACTACGAAGAAGGAAACGAAAGATAGTCATCATCATAAGATACCGGTTACAATCGAGTTAGTGTTAGTTGCTTAATTGTTCTGGTCGTTCAGGGTGATTCAGTGGAAAGGCATTCTGGGAAGACGAACTTTGAGCAATGAATTGAAATAGAAGAAAGTAAACGTTACCGATACCAATTGACGATGAAGACGAACGTAAAGAAAGAATCTATGGACGTAAATGGTCATGAGTGGCCTCGCTGTATCACTGTGGTGTTGTGATCAAGGCTGCGAACAACGGCCAAATTGCTTTGAACGATTAAACAAATTACTGTTGTCACTTGTAACACATTTTCGATTTAGCTTTACTTACAAGTGGCACGTATTCCAAATAAATTCAGTCGCCACTGATCATGGTACACTGATCATACAACAACGCCATTCGTTTTGGCCTCTTTTGACAATGAGAAAAAGCGCCGTGGACAACATAATTTACCTAGGACCCTCCAAAGAAGGCTCCGGTGTTGTGTGCCTGCAGAGTGTTCTGATTATTCTTGTACGTCACCATATGCCATTTCTCTCGATAACGAAAAAAACACAGGATAAAGTTCACACCGAGACAAGTATTCTCAATTAAACGGTAAATACGAAACGATGATTGATTAGAAAAGAAAAACATGCAGAGAAGTAACTGCTTGTATTTGGCCATTGTTAACAAAAACCACAATGTATCATATGATGGTGACGATTCTGACTTTAGGTACGCCTTAATTTTTAGCCAAGTGTTTATTGTGTCTCTCGTATTCCAAAGATCTACGTTGCGCTGGTACATTGTTCTGCTCTGACAACAACTGGTCGGTTGCCTTTGAACATGCTTCTATGCCCACGTAGCTCTGCGAGCTTTAAAAACGGGCATCATTGGTTACTGAATGGTTTTTTTAGACCAGACCAACAACGTTGTCAGCGTGGACCACACCAGCGTTTCAATAAGACCAATCGGTTCCGATTCAGAACGCACTTCGAACGACGCCTTAATCACGTGCATTGATGTAAAGCAGAGGTCAATAGTGACTAAGTAGGAACACAGCTTCGCAGCTATGGGACATGCGCCTACCTAGGTCTTTTGCAGTAGCTGTGGTGATATGTACAAGCAAAGTGTGCGTTTGCACGCTAGTCGTGGTACGTCGAACTTCTACCCCCTAGATATCACAATCGAAGTCCCGAAAACAAGTAGGAGATAAGCATCTGCCTCTTAGTTGGTATGCAAAGTGAATTAGGCCGTTGGCAACAGATGCGTTTCGGGACCGTGGTCTTTATTATTTCAATGGTGGATTTCGGCTCGAGTTGAATCAAATCGACAGTGAGCCACAAGCCGAAAGCAAATGGCCGGCCTTGTTGCGGAGCAGCCAAACGTGGCTGTCGTTAGCTGGCTACAGCTTTGGCGTAGTCTAAATCAGGGCTGGGAACCGTCACAGCATACATGACGACATGTCTCTCGAAAGGTTACCCTGAAAAACTGGAACGGCTTTTCTGAAAGACTATGGGTTGTGGTCGTGTATCGACAGGATGCTGGCTCGATGATTTTCTTTGGCAGACTAATCTAAGGCGGCTGTCTTCACTGACTTGAGTTCGTGCTCCCTTGAACTAATTGAGGTGGTCAGAAGAAGAAGCGAGCTCTCAGAGAGGGTCGGAATCGCGGCAGTGTCGAGATTGGTCAAAACCGGGTTATATTGTCTGCCACACCGTCGATAATGGTTCTCGGCCGCCATAAGCCGCGCATTCTACATTCAGGTGCATTCGGACAAGCGTTTGCGCGACCGATCGACTGCCCAGCGCGGGTGCGCAGTTGAAGCAACCAAAAATTCCCAAGAAGGGCCCAGAAAAAGCGAATTCGGCGAATTTTCATCTTTTAATCTAATAACAATAATACTATTATTATTATTATTATCAATGAAAATTATAATTATTATATGTCATAATTTGATTGATATTTCCGAGCAGAAGGATGATAACACAATCATACATGGATTATGACAATGTTGAAGATTATATTATAGAGTGTCACTACTCATAACTGATTGATATGCGACGGACGAAGTTATACTGTGAATCAATAAAACGCAGAGAAAGTGAAGTAATCCGTGGCTAGCAAAAGAGTGACAACGCGATTCGGAAAGATTGTAGTACAAGTTGGGGTTTATGTATGTCGATGGCAAAAATAACGACGACGACGACAATAAAGGCAAAGGGGGCAAAAACCGAATGGGAATAAAACGAAGCAGAGAGAGAAAGTAGATGTGGAGAACACAGGATAAAAGGGCATAGAATCATGTGAAAGGCGAGGGGACGAAAAACAGACGAGGACTGAAGCAGTTAAAGAAACGTAAAAAAAGCCGAGTTAGAAAACGAAGGCAGCAGAGTCTTCTCTGTCAGAAGAAACTGCTTTCTTGTTGCAGGAACGTATGGGCAAGTAGATTGAGAGAATCTTCGACGAGGATCGTGGTATATTTGTGCGTATTCAGTCGCCGGAGACGCTAAATATGTAGATGTAGAGACAGCGCTTCCATAAAACCCGCAGCAGCACCACTATCCATCCGATGGTGCCTATAATCCTCTCAAATGTTCGGAATCCTCTAAACATTTGTTCAAATACTTATTATCAGGTGTCATGAGCTGGCGTGACAGACTCAGCGAACGCGAAATTGTTGAGCGATAAAAAGGAACAGAGATGAAAAAAAATTGGCTGGATCCGAAAAGGACTAAGGAGGACTAAAGACAAAAAAATAAACTGATGAAAAACTCGTCGTATACAAATAATAGGGGTAAATGCGCGAAATAATGCTGACAGAACTTTCATCAATGAATTGAATGAAAATGAGGTCGCTATAGTCTGGGGTAAAGAAAGCAGGATATGCCGAAAAGGCGGCCACAGAGTTAGCAGGTGGTTTGTCTGTACTTGAGCGAATCTTGAACGGCCTTTACCTGCGTCGAAAAGTAACGGTGATGAGAGCAGACGAAAACTGTTTGCAGTATCGAACAAGTGGGTGTTGAGAGAAGGCAGGAGAGAATTTTTAAGATCCACAGCAACATTAAATGATAGGAACATGTAGACTGCGATCATCATTATCAGAACTTCGAAAAAGTACAATCAAAATTGCAATCACTATAACAAGATGAAACAACATAACCGTAGTGGAGTGCTAAAAATCATTGTTACGGTGTCGAATGTTGATCGAAGTCAGCCTATTAGAAACAGACGCGTGAAAGTGATCATTTCAAAGTGATACTACGGAAATCGGGGGGAAAAAATTGTAACTTAGGGACAGCAACTTTATTGCTCCTTTTAAATGAATCATTCGGGTTTAAGAAGGTACCGATACCGATTCTGAGCTGTCCGATGAAAAAGGCACCGAGATATGCAAAATACGATGACGCATTCTGGAAGCACTCTTCTTCTAGTCAGTATCAAAAAGTGGAAAATACACAGAAACAAAGACAAAGGATAGTAGAGACCAGAACGAAATACAAACTATAATAAAGTGGTGATTATCAGTCCGATAAAACATTCGGTAAAAGTAAGTCAACAATATGTTCATGTTACCGACATGCCTAGCAGACTAGGCGAAACTGATAATAGAAAAACGAAGACAAAAATAGCTCCACGATTTACATAATTTAATATCCATCATTTGATAAACAACAACAACAGCAACAACAACAACAACCAATGGTGAGACCAAAAATCATGTCAAACACTACCGAATATATGTTAGAGAATATAACATATAATGGTAATACAATTAAAACGAGAAATGTTATTTGGCAATAAATTTAATCCGGATTCCAACTAAATGTGTCTTTTATTAACTAGTAAGCAGATAAAAAGTATATATTTGTATATACAAATCATGGGCCAAAATGTGCATCGAACAACATGAATACTATTAAGAGGACCCTCTGGACTCCAACTTTGATTAACAGTAGGTTTAATTGAGTTTATTTGGGAATACCTAAGCAGAGCTTATCTTTAGAACAGTTAGCCGATTAGATACTAGATACATACTATTTAAGCGCTTTCCTATTTTAACACAACTAGCGTTTATATAGTCAAAGGAGTAGTAAAGAGCCTTTTAGGCGTATTGGTATCACATAGATTTATATTTAAATACATACTTTTCGGTGAAATTTTTAATAATAGCACTTGTTTACTTATTTAATGCTAATAATAGCACGTTCTGAACGTTCATTGACGGAACTCTATATAATAGAGTTCCGTCAATGAACGTTCAGAATTATACTAGATGAAAAAACTAACGCTTTCAACGTACCTAAAAATATTTCAAAACAAGCGTTCCAGTATTAACAACAGACAAAAGCAGATAGATGAGGAGCAAATGAATTTATTAATAACACCGACTTCAATAAACTGCATGGTATTATTTGTATCCGTTCCTTATAATGCAAACACCTTGACCTCAGCTGAACAAGTCCAGTACATAATGGCACTGCACTGTCAGATAAACGTTCAGTCTTCAAAAATATTAATTAGAGAAAACCGATAAACAAGGAAGCCAAACGTATTTTTTATTCCCTCGGTAGGAGTCTAGTTCTTTATCGGGCCAAACGTCTACTGGGTTTTTTGGGTTAATGTTAAACCACCAGACTGAACGTTTTTCGCTTTTTTCACAACCTGGAAATTTTCAGAGACCACAAATTAGTGAAAGACCTGATGCCGTTTACATTGTCGGACATTCAATACCTACTTTAACGTTAAACGAGTGGTTCTTACTTTATTAGCACTTTCTTGGCTCTATCCAGCCATTGATTTTATCTACGAATCTGAAATGCGACTCAAACGTTCTCCAGTGTATAAACGTCTCTATTAGCAGGAACAAATGGGAGCAAATGCTGTTTGTTTTATTTAAAAATACAGATATGTTATCGGAAAATAAAACTATGAAAAATAAACGAGACGCCGGCTCAGAAAAATATGCCTCTCACTCACCTTCATTAGCTTGTTCACATCGTCTGTTGGCCCAACACCATAGTGCTTTAACGTCGACATGCGCAGCTAACGTAGTTAATAAACTATTTGTGTTACCAGACAGAATGTTGATTACCCCTGCAGGAATGTCTGACGTATCAATAACCTGAAGCAACGATTTCATCAGGAATTAAATACAGCCGCACGTTTTGATTAACGTATCGTTATAATCTAACCTTAAACTTTAGATGTGTACAGCAAGCAAAATCACTGACCAGGTATTGGTTACGAACTATAACGGCATGAACGCGGCTCCTTCACAGGATACAATCTTGCTTGACTGGACGTGTATCTCAGATATAACCTTCCTATCGTCTACGATAGATTATAATAATGCCAATACGTTTTAGTAGGCGGATATGCATTAACTTAGTAGAAGCTCCTTAATTTAGCTGTCAAAATTGGACAATCTGTTAAACGTACCTGGGCCAGCATCAATGGTGCAATGGGGTATTCCTCTGGAACGACGATAACGACGGTGTTGCCAATCGATATTGCACTAATCAAAAGCGTGACTAGAGAACGCATAACCTGTCAATACGCAGTAAACAGGGAGCAAATATCGCTAACGATTTACATATAGCACTTTTTTACATTAGTCACGTTTCACATGGAGTTGTTACAAAACAGACTTGTGTCTTATTTAAATAAACTAATTTAAGAACGTGCCACCTTAAAGTGTTGAGAAAAAGGCTTAATAAACTAATTTAAGAACGTGCCACCTTAATGTGTTGAGAAAAAGGCTTAGAGCTGACGGTTCGCGCATATATTAAGAGAAGCTCTAAAACACGATTTATGATTATATGTTTAGCCCAAGTCGGTCGAAGGGGGCGGCTGGAAGATGCGTTTTTTTGTAACGTTACCAAAACGTAAATAAACTTTGTGGAAAGGTTTAACCTCAGGAAAGCATATTTATGGACATAGACCGGAAGGTGGATCAGTTCAAATAGGTCGACAAGTAGGAAAAGGAAAGGGTAGAAGTTTTTCTACTGTTAACTATGGACTACTTTTTCAAGTTTTTTATTATATATTGTAGGATGTGCACGACGAAGTAACAAACCTTTATCGGAGGGCAGATGATAGCGATTACGCCGTGAGGCTCCTGTGATGAGTACAATTTCATACCTGGGGATGATACCTGAAATATGTCGCACTTAAACCATCGGTGGCTTGAATTTGAACTCCGTTAATGCTCATTCGATGGACTATATTTATTTTGTATGTATTTCTTCCTATCATATTCAATTCAGTTTACACGGGGTACCATTACAACTACCATTTCCGCAATAACAGCAATAAGTAAGGTAAGGTCGCCATTGACTAAAAAAACGTTAAGAAAAAAATGCGTTACTGAATGTTCCAAAGCTTAGAAAAAAAAACTTACAAAGCCCTCGACATCAGTATCGCGATAGCTAGCCCATTTGAAAATCGCGTCTATGGATTCCTGTAGCTCTTGTGCACAGTCCGAATGGCCCGTGTTTCGCGACAGCTTTTCGATAAAATCGTCTTTTCGTTGGTTTAGATTCTCCCCGAAAAAGTAGATAATTTGTAACCTGCTGAACGCTGACTTACTACTCCATCTGAAACAATTATGTAAAAATTAAACAGACATCGATTACAATTTCTGCTTGTTAACTTTGTTACAAAAATCATGCGATGCGTCAGTATCTCCTACCCATTAAGACTTCAGAGTTCACATCCACCCTCCGTCGAATTTGTGTTTAGCATACTTTTCTTAGCCCATATATCACTGTTGCCTTGGCATACCAATATATTCTAAGGCCACACTGATATTTTAGCACCGAACCTGAACATTACCCTGGGAAAGCCTTTAATGCAGCTTCAACAGCGTTGCAAGCATCCTTCGGCCCTGCAGCAGGCACGTAGGCGAGGATTTTAGCGGCACGATCGGTCGATGAAATACGTTCGAACACCGGGTAGCAAGTTTGTGATTCAGCATGTTTCTGACCGCCGTCATAGTACAGCTTGAGGGTACAGTCGACGCTGCGAATAGTATTGATTGAAGGTACGAAACGTTAAAAATTCTATCAGAATTAGCTACGAATTGTCATTCCAGCTACTCGAGCTGACGAACACGACCCAGCTGGCGAAAAATGTATTCTTTTGGATTCAATTAAAATATATACCATCCAAGAAGAATAGTTGCTGTATAATCACAGATGAAAGTTTAATCCGCGACATACTTGCTGAAGACGTGCTCAAGTTCCACATTAGGGATCGGCGGCGGTGAGAAAGAAATTTTCTCAGATAAGTCCATTTTTCCGGAGGGGAAATACAGCTCTTTGAGGAAGGTAGGATTATTATAAAAGTGATTTTGTCCATTAATCCAGATGTATCGGAAGCCATAAATGCGTTCAGCTATTTCGACAGCTCGTGCCACGTATTCCGTCCAGATAGAAAGATACTCCGAGTGTAACGGATCTAAATGTATTATATTGTATCATAGGTTCATGTTAGTTATCTAGTTAGGGAATAATCTGGAAAAGGCATGTTTAGGCCGCATCAAAAAGCATAGTTAAAACGTTGTGAGGGTGTAACAAACGAAGAGCATGCATGTATCTACAATAGTATTCGAAATATATCGGGTTATTTTGGGAAAAGAGTCTAGCAAAATTTCTTGGCAAATGTGCGCGCGGAGAAATGGCTTACCTACTGACGCTAAGCTGGCGACTTCCTTAATAGTTCGAAAACCTTGAATGTAGACTGTTGGCGCTGTGTTCTTTGTTTTCTGAGGAATATGAGCAGCTTTGATAATCTGAACATCGGAATGAGCCACAAGATCAGCTGTTTTGGCGAAGTTAGACTTGGCTATTTTTAGGCTGCCCATTTGAGCTTTGAGAGCTTTCATGACTCGCGATTGTATACAATCTTGAATATAAACCATTATTCCCAGATAGTTTTTCTGTTCGAATAGGATAAAATATTTCTGTTAGATATGAATAAATATTCCTGATTTTGATTAGAATCTAGAAACGTAATAGTAAAATTTAAAACTATCACTCAAGATAATAACCTGTGGCGCGTCTTCATAAAATATATACGAAAATAAGAAAGAAGAAAGCCACGTAAAAAATCGTTTACGTAAGGAACTATATCAGATGAAACAATGGGTCTTGCAATATCTGAATTAGTAGCCATCTAAAGACTTTTACCATTCCCCAGCAGTCGGATAGCATTTCCATGACACCATTGACCGCTGAGCCAATATCCGCGCCCTCAGCAATGATACAGGTGGACATACTGGGACGACTTTTCTCTAGCGAAAGCATTACTGTCCCCGTAATAGGTTGCAACTTGCCTAGGTCCGAGTCACGAAGTATAACGACATTCAGAAAATTCGCCGGAAACCTTCAAATGTATGAGGCACATTTTGTACATTAAATACCCTATGGATTGCCTCCTTATCCAGTTCGATCCATTATTACGACCATGCCGTTATTAGCTAAAATCCAATAGAACGTTTCTGAATGACTTAAGCTTGTGTAGACCCCTTTTAAGTTGACAATGAAGTGCAATTTGGTAAAATAAAAAAAGGTATGGCAAAAAGAAGTGCAATAAGAAGTGCTGGACTACATTGATATTGCTATAATTCCATGCATTAAATACGCCGTCTTTCATGTAAACTCCTATTAGCAGAATGCTCTAGACTTACCCAGCAACGAGACAGATGTCGGAAAAAATGAGAGCTGGCAAGCAGTTTGACGGAGAAACAGCGAGGACAACAGGAGTGTGGGCCGACCACGCCTCTCCAATTCGCCATTCAGCAATAAGGTTCATTGGGTAAGAGTCCGATCCCTATTCAGAATATCAAATTTAGCATTAGACGCGAGCAATATGCGGACACGTATCTAGGCCAACGTGAATTTCGATACATACATAATAAATACATGAGGAACTTGGACTTCTTTAACAATACATACTGCGAAGTGAAAGGAAACGGTTTTGCTTAGACTTTTCCATTCATTATATTTAACTTAAAAGTAGGAGGAGACATCTGTTTAGGGCTATAGACGAGCAAACAATCTCCTTCACCTCTAAATAAAGAGCTACATAGAGAATAAAGGAAAAACTCCGTGTCCACCTGAATGACAATCACTGCTGAGCACCTTGGCAGGATTTTACCGGAACACCTTCTGGCCGCCGTGCTGTACAAATACTCTATAGCATTCGTGGCATAGGCTCCTCGGCACTTTTCGAGACGTTTGAACGGAAAGCTAACAGCTTCCGCGGTACTAAACAGCGCTACATGCTTCTGAAAGTTCCGGGCTACCCTGTATAACAACAAACAGGACTTAAATCAATACTGTTCGATGACGACGTTATTTTCAGCGCAAACAGTTTCACTTACACAAGTTCTTATAATGCAACATAACTCCGATAAAATATCTACGAAATTCTTGCAAAGGTTAGGCAATAGTGAATAATTTTATGGAAGTATCAGGTAGTCAGAAAGTAATTTCAGAAATTTTTCATTTCTGCTATCTGTGCATTTTCTTCAGCCTTTTTTTTCAGGTTTTAAACTTGGAGCGTACTCTTTCTAGGTGCTTTTGCGTTTGCAGTTACTGCACTATGCACATCCTATCTGGGTTTTTCGGTAACAGTTCTCTGTGCGACTACAGTATAAATCCAAAAAACCGCATACCTGACGCTGTCGTCTCCACTACTTATCCGTCTTTGGAAAGCACGCAGCTAAGACAACAATAACAAGGGTAAACGTGTGTATGAAATAGAAAAAAAAGTATATAAAAAAAATTGCAGTATTTTACAATATATGTCAAAAAACAGTTCTAAAACTTCACAATTGAAAACCTCTCATGACACCACAAACTGTATCCGGACGGTAACAAGAACCTGATGACAATTAATAACATACTCTATGAGTAAAAATGTTTATCTTTCAGTTTAAAAGCGATGGTAACTTTTTGAATTCAAGACAACTAAAAAGGATCTTTCACATGGTCATCTACAAAACTTCGATCTACAACGACGGGTTCACTACGATCATTTTAGTGAACGAATACAGATCGTGATCCATTCAGCTTGTTAAAATGAGTTGAGAAACTGATAGAAAAGGTTCCTGGATTGCTTACTTTGTATTATGACAGCCCTAGATCTTATGCCCTTCGGCAACCTCTATTGGCCTTATTTCCAATTCTCATAAATTACAGATATGAACTTTTTTACGCGCGTGTATAGTTTATAGTTTATTTTATCGGATGTCATTTCAGATCTACACAGCGTGGCCTTAAGTGTAAGCTGTTCAAATAAAGCGGTGGATCTTTGAGTGGATCGCTTTGATGTTTCCTTCTATTGTCTGAACAATCCATCTGTGATTCAAGCGACTGCAGGAAAACCTCAGGCGCCAAAGGACTAAATTTGGTGAGGGAGGCCAGTTTCCTCAAAAAGAAAGTAGCACTTAAGCCGAGCTAAAAAACGAATTCATTTTCTAGCTGATCTGATGTTTGTATAAATACAGTGTTCCGGTACGAAATCCGGAGATGTTTATAGCATACATTGGGCTATGGTTTTTTGCCACTAAATTTAAAAGCGGACGTAACTGAATAACATGGATCTAGATTCAAGCACAGCTCATCGACAGCTAACTCTGTAGATTCAGCCGGCCTACCTTGATCACGTTGACATATACGGTTTGTGTTTTATTGGCTAAGTGCCGATTTTTTTAGACTACGTGCTGTGGTTTACTTCCAATAGTTCAATGAATTTAAAGATTTTGGACGTCATGAAGGGGCCCACTATTGTATTGAACTCTTTCTGCAATTCGTCATCGTTATCTCGTAACCAACTTACGCGTAAATTGCTTGAGTTTTTTCCTCGGGATCAATATTCAACCATTCCTGTTGAGCTTTTGGTGCCATTTTTAAGACCTGATCGAGCAAATGCTGACTACCGTAGGCGACTTGGTATCTGAGACCGCACTCGGTTGTAACGTCCGTACAACTCCAACATGTATTTGAGATCCCGACTGCAAAACTCGACACTACGTTTCCACGCTTGGACAGCCATTGCTGAAAAAACAATGAATATACCATGAAACTACGCAAAATATATATTCTAAAAAAAGATGGAATTATTCCATAAAAATAGTTGTCATTCAAGAATCTTGATCACGAGTGCATAACAAAGAGGTCGCGTACTTCTCCGTTGTCCCAAGCGTTTTTTTTTTGGGACGCTTTTTTTGGGCAAGAGATAAACGCAGAGGATATCACTGTGTTGTGCGTCTATTGATGTATTTGACGCTCTGGTGTACTTAAAAGACATTACTTACAACAGTCTGTTGTAATATATAGGCCACTGTTGTTACTGTAATACTTAAACTCAAGTTATTTTGATATTATTTAATAACTCAATAAACTATTGGCATCATTATTAGTTTAAAATTTAGAGAATTTTTGTTTGTTCTTAGTAAACAGATCTCTAATCGCCACGTATTCTATTGAAATATTATTGCGCACGAAAGCAAGCCTCCGATGAAACCAAAATACGGGTTTACAATACATTTAGCTTAATACAACATAGTTACCGAGTAGCTTAGCTATCGCTAGTATCGAGGATGTCATAACATTTAAAAGCAGCTAGAGTTAATGGCCACCAGGGATGTGCTTATATATTAACGGACCGAACTAGCAAAAAATTATAATAAATTGAAAAAAGAGCTAGAACACCTACAGTGCATGAAAATTTAACTAGAAACACATAAACAATTCGCGCGTTGTTACCTGTATGATCGCAGGCCTTTCGTGTTCATTATCACTGAGCTGCATATTCTCAAACAATTCCCTTACTTTTGCCATTTGTACCATAAAATGGCTACTATGATTAGCAATTCTTGTACAAGAGTCAGATCACTTCTAATTCAACAGACCCTCATCAGTGTAATGAAATGTCTAACGACTATATCAGATGTAAAACTCGAAATAGATAGACCGATACCGTCAAATGCCGTTCGAAACAACTGAACACGCCGATGTAAGGGGCACCTTCTGTTATCTATTTCTCCTCACTCCTCTGTGTGTTTTTTCAATGTTCCATTTTCTTGACTGGGACGCTCTATTTAGATGCAAGTGGAGAAAATTAACTTGACGGTTTAGTTTTGCTATGTTTTGATTCGTAAGTTCTCAAATTAAACTAGTATGATACGTTGCACACAGTTTACTACAGTTTTACTGGACTTTAAGCATAAAAGATATTTTGAAATTAGTAATTAGTAAATTAGTAGTATTAGACTCGCACAGAAAGGCAGTTTGGCAGCTCGCGCGAACCTGATGTTTAAAGCAGCTTATTCAAATTTACCCGCCACCCCTCCTGTCCAGACGATGTTTACAATATTGCCAAGATATTCTTGAACACCAATACAAGACACATGCCCGTGCATAAGATAACCGCGAGGAAGGTGCACATAAAAGTACTTTTTCCTGGTGTTCACTAAATTGTTAACATAGGATAAGGTTGGGCAGCTTCGATATCTATTTATGTGGGAAGTGGTGTGGTTTGTGGAAGGGAGAAAGACCCAAACAAGTCTAGCAATACCCGTCCCGATTAGATTCTTAACGGAGGCTGGTCCTTGATACTATAGCTGCAAAAAGTGATACCAAGGATTTGTTCACAAAAAAATGGCTAGGAGTGTCAAAGAAGAAAAAACTATGTTTGTTTGTGTAAGCAACATTGTTTTCTAATATGAGACGGGTAAAAAAAACTTGTGTCCCGTAGTAGACTTTCAGTTGTCCCTTCGATAACAGGGTTCATTGCCGCTGTTCAGCATCACTCGCAAGAAAAATAATTATAACAAAATCTATTATGTTAAAGACTAGTGCTGTTCTCAAGTAATCGACGTGCACTTGGATTAGCACATTCGTCTTCTGCTACATACGCAACATTCATTTTTGTAATAAGCAATATGGAATGATATGATGTATAATAATGATAATCAATTGCTGATCGATTATCATTACCAATTCTAAATGCCATATAGCTATTTTTCGAGCGACTGTAGATTAGTGGTATAGTAACTATTTTACGGCTTTTTGTTTCGTACACAAACTAGGATGTTCCATTTGCGTTTATGTTATGTGTATTCTTTTGACTTATTGATTTTTAGACATCCCTCAAAACAGCCAGCTTATATACACTTTTTGATTCTGCAAATTTGCAAAATGGAAAAGTTTACGAACGAGATACGTACTAATCCAACGGAGATATGCGATTCACATACATGAAATTGTACAAAAAACATAAGGGTAGTGCGCTAGAAAAACCCGAGAGCAAAACTGGAAGTCGAAGTTGGTAATTTCCAGTCCCACATCTGCGTGTCATCAATGGAGATGCTTAATCATTTAAGTCATACATTAGTAGACTACACCTGTTTTTTTATTTTTTTCAGGATTGTATTAGAAACAATGGATCGTAGATTCATATGATGTTATGTGAGGAGAATCATGCAACATTTACCTGTGATATATACAATCTAGGTAACTTAACAAAAACGATGTCTAAGCTTGTTTTTCTTAACACTTACAATCAGTTTGAAAAGGATGAGCCAGCAGCTTTTGTGGCCATCAGTGATAAAAACTAAATCTTTAACGTCGCAGTATTTTTCAGAATTCACTAATACAATGTAAAGGACATTCGGCTTCGGGTTAAGCTCTCGCATTGGTGAGTTTAAGGAAGGAGTGATCGAATTCTTCTGTACTACATTTCTCTACCTATACCAACTAGCCTAAGATTGCTTGATTGTCGTTGTTTGAACTGAGGCACTCCAGATGATACCTGTGTAAAACGATTATTACTTTCCTACTTGGCTAATAGGCACGAATGGACTAGCTGGGCCATTTTCTGGAAGCAAATTTAGTTCTACGGTTTTGTATTCGATGCATTTGTACGGCGACCGCCCCCTTGGCCTTCGCTTCATCGGCTTCTAAACACTAACACAAGTTCCTGATTTTGAAAACTCCTAAAGAAAAATAAGACATTATGGTTTACCAGCTTTCAATTTTAGTACACAGTTGTCTTGTGACAGTACGTATTTCAGTTAGTACTAATCGGCGCAAACAATACAATGTGTTCTCAAAACAGCGAAAAATCTCTGAAAAGAAGTACTACGTATCGTTCACGCTTTACGATTAAACTTATTTTGGAGGTGGGTATCGCTTTATAGATTGCCGTAAGTTACATAACAATAATAACGAATAGATTTACAATCATTCCAAGAAATGTTGAAAAACTGCAACATCATGGACATTTTGTAGTAAGATGGTAGACTTATGATAAGAAACAAACAAGCATACAGTACTTGAATCCGACTCTGTTATGTAATCGAAAGCCATTGACAAATTAGATTTGAGGCTGATTTTGTTAAAATTTGCGTTATATTGAAAATTATTTTGTACATGCCGATAGTAAGTTTTGCTTTTGGCAACAAACCAAAAAATCTGAATTTGTCAGCAGTAGCTACAAATAAGGTCTGTAATCAAACAATATTACAATAAAATACATAATAAATAATACAAAAAATATCAGAGAAATACAAGATCGGAAAGAGATCGTCGTTGCTCTATCTAGATCCTTTATAGGATGAGGTTCACGGAGTTGAAAGGGACAATTTTATGTAAACGTTAGGACACTGTGAAGTGGGATTTGCTTTCAACATGTAAAGTATTGCCTTACCATTGTACGTAAACTCAATTAATATAGATAATTTCAGTTCCACTTCTGCATAAATATATACACAAATCCACAATCTGTGGGAAACGTACGATTACACTTCATTTTCAGTAATCATAAAAATAGCTTAAATAGGTGTGCAATCTTTTCCCTACGCCAGTGCACGAACTTAACGATAGCGAAACTTTGTTAATTTTCTTTTCTGTTTACAGCAGTATATGTATTTTGTAAAGACTCACATGCGCATGTGGCTTGTCCCCATTCGACTTTGAAAACAAGACGTTTCATTTTTAAAGACGGAACTGTAGAAAATAAAATAGATATTGTACCACTACTTTCTTTGAAGCCAGATTAAGGAAAAGCAATAGTACAGTATCGTAAGCAACTGGAAATAACATTCAATCGAGCGTTATTTCCAGTTACTTTCATAAAAACAAAACTCGTTAAATATAATACGGCTAATCTAAATAGAAGTGATTTCTTTCTTGATATAAATCTCAATGTATATTCGACGTCAATTAAACGATTTAACTTAGTATTTTTTTAATGATATGCTGTTGCCTCAGACTCGATTCCAGTATTGTATGAAGCAAGGATGAAACACACCAAACCCTGTCTTCACTTGGGTACTCGATGCCTATCCTGTAGAAGCACCAATCTGCTATATATCTCCTACAGCAAACATCTGCAGCGAAGTATCAGCGAATATTAGCGAAAGTGGCTTCATGCATCCTTTCTGTCTAAACAGCTGGGACCATGCCAAATGTGGGAGCTATATTTTTTCGTAGAAGGCCGTTTACAGAGATATAATAGATCTAATTCAACGTTCACCAGAGACATTAGCGAAGCAGTCGCCTGTTTTTTCCTACCTCGTTTCATGTCTTATTATACTAGGCGTAGGCTGCTTTAATCATTTATATGGTGCAATCCTTCATGAAATAAGTCTGAAGCATGCTTCCATTATCCGTCTTTTCGACGCAATCGACTTTTCAAAGTAAATCTATCTTACAAAATTTGATTAGGGTTGAAGCTAACCCATAGAACAACTTATTTAAGATTTGAATTAAATAAAATGTTTTGTTTTTCCGCCACCAAATAATAAATTGTTAATTTTCGATAAATAATCCATTAGAGACCCTAATGCCGCTGGGAAGTAGGCCTATACAGGTTATAAATGATTCTGTACGAAGAAGCCAATTGGATTGGAGCGGTTAGATATCTCTCGTTTTATCTTGGTCGAAAATTTCTTCAGCTCTTGAATGTTTTTTTATACAAAATAGATACTTATATACAAATAAGCAGCATATTTATTTGGACTGCATAGTTGAATCTAATTGATTCCGTGGAACATCTGAAGCGAACTAGCCCATATTTTTAAAAACGGAACTGTTAGTGTTATATTATAAGAGTAACGCATAATTTACTCGCGCTGCCTCTTGCAATAGGGCGATAATCCGCAGGAAAGCCTCGATATCCGAATATTAACGGCTGTTCTGCTGAAGGGACATTCCGTGATAACCCAACGGCCCCGGATCATTATCAACCTGATTCACTAAAGGAAGAACATTTAGTGTAAATAAGTTTTAGCTCAGCGGAGAAGTACCTGCCGTTTAAAATCCTTTAAGGATATTTGCCTTCGTAAATAATCTCCGTATGCATTTTCTCTATCCGGTATGTCATAGATTTATAATCCTTCTATGGTAAATAGTAACTACGTTCTGTAGAGCTATATAAAGTTGAAGTTTAAGTGGCCTAAGCACTGCCACGTTATAGGGTTGTAGCTTGTTCTAGCAGTGTAGAGGAAATTTAATAATGTAGACGCCATTTTCCAAAGCTACCTCGCTTGCATTCAGAACGATGTCGTTGTCAACCATTAACAGACATGATCTAGGGAAAGCGAATGGTCAAGATTAAATACTTAAGACGGTCTGCAAATACTTCTTTTGTGATACATTCGGGTGGGTTTGCAAAACCCTGGTTTTCAAAGGGTGCCTCTATTAGTTATTATGTACTCGAAAATGAGTATTGTAACAAAAATTACCCGTTTTTGTGATGTCAGGGGTTTCGCTCTTTTCAGTGCAGTTACTTTAGGTGAGACCATTAGCGTAAGAAAAAACATTTCGTCTGCACTAAAGATATTTGAAGGGGTAAAGTTGAATGACTCCATCGCAGCCTTATGATTTTTGAGGAAAACTTTGGCCGCTAATTTAGTAGAGCTTATTGCGCGTTAAAAACACACCTTTTATGCTGCCGCAAGGAGCGTTCATCGTGCCCTGTTGGGAAAGCCACTTCCTTCGTGCAATCTAGCCATGATGCAAACTGTCCGGTACGTTTATGTTGAGTTGCTTGGCGAAATTGTAAGTAATTGACTTTGCCTCAAGCATACTACAAGCTTGCATGGTCCGTACGCATTGGGCAAGGGATGCTTCTAATGCGATCTCTTAATATGTCTCAATTACATAACACGAATGGACGCACAGATAGATAAGTGGAAAATCAAGTTTATTTAGAAGAGTTTCTCGAACAATTTTAATAGGAAATGAAAAGGCGCAAATTAAATAATAACTCATTGTATACATCTAAGAAAATACAATAGGAGAAACATGCGTGAAGAAGAATTACACTCAGAATTTACAGTTAGAGGATAGCTTTATGAGACGCTTCACGAAAGCAGCAATGCGTAGGGCTATTGTAAAATACGTATATATGGCAAAGAAGTATGCTCAAGACTAAGTACAGGAAAATCTCTCTGTGAAGTTACCGAAGCAGGCGCCAAGGGCAATGTATTGTGCGGTCTGCCGAAACCTTCGGATGCGCCGTGTATCTGGGTCAAATATGCTGCGATGTTCTCTGTTCCCAGTATAATACATAATACCCACAACTATATGTAGTATGAAATGCGAGTAATTTAAATTCTAGCAAGGCAAATTTAACAGTTAACATCGTCTACCGCCACTTGGGCAAAATGACTTTCCTTTCCTTCACATCATCATTTTTCCATACTGCACCAATGTATAGATTCGTCTAGACTCTCCTTTGTCGCCATAATACTCTTTGCGGATCCTAGTCTTTCATATTTGGTTTTGGCAGCAGCCACAGATTTATGCCGGTATTTTCGGCCGTCACTTACATAAGGCCATGAGCGGTGAGGTTATATGCAGAGGCTTGAACGTTATCGCTTTTGTCTGTTTCCGCTACTGTTATCTGCTCGTCCTTCTGTGATGTTGTTTAGAAGTGCTTCTGTGTGTAATGAGGTTGTTTATGTTAATGGTCGATTTCTATAGACAGGTACATGATCTAATGATAGCGACTATTAACAATAATATATCTTGTCTTTTACTCACTACTCGGCGGTTGATACCGTTTTTAGGTAGGCAATAAACGCTCTATTTGATAAAAATGTCACTTATGTTTATTATCAGCAGACAGACACTGGAGTTTCTGAGACAAAAGTTGTCTAACTCAAACGTTGAGTACTCCTTTCTGAGGTATCATACTGGCAACGACATCTGTAAGGATGCCCCACCTTCTGCCATCGACGTTTTTGTGCTTCAAGGGTATTTCGTGTATACACCGTTGGACAATCTTACCCCATATTTACTCTAAATGAAATAAATACATCGTCCATCAAACTAATTCGTGCTGTTATTCGTGAGATATTTTTTACATAAACTGAATAATGCCACGTTTTTGAATAAAAAAAAAATCAGGTACCCATCACTTTTGGATACACTCAAGGAGACGTTCGATTGATGCACGGCAGCCTTATTAACCATGCTACTGAGATGCGGCCATTTATGGAATATGAGCCTGTTATGATTATTTCATTTCAGGAAATCAATGAAAATTGAAAAGAAAACGATAGCATATGAATGAAAAAATTGAATTTTCAGTAGCACAAATGTTTACTGATGAACGCTTTAGAGATTATCTATATTTGTGGGATAGTGGTGTTACCGCTATAGCTTTATACTACAGTGAGCGATGTCAATTTCTAAGTATGCATCCTCTGGGCAGACACAAGTATCAAACCCAACACACTATTCTAAGTGCTGAAGCCTCCCATTTAGGAAAAAATATGTTTTTCAAGAACACAATTCGTTTTCTACGAATCGACAGGAAATACACACAAATTGCACCTACTACACAGGTCATGTGAACTCTTACCTTTTTATATTATATAATATTGTGCGATTGAAATCATTAAATATATATAATCCGCTACCGAAAATGAGTCTATGGCGCCTGTTATCGACATGTTTTCAACAAACAAAATTTGATTCTTGATCAAACTCTGAATATTTTTGAGCCGTATGTCGGCTAGAACCGTACCACATTTTGGGTTACTCAATTTTTTCCAACCAAATTTCAAAAATTAAAATTACTATGGTTAAGTGTAGGTTTTTTTGCACTTTAAGGGAATATGTACTGAGCCACGAATAACCAAAATGATCAACCTGTTTTCTCCTAAAAAGCTGCTCTCTCCAGAAGTAACTCAAAGTAAATCACAAAAAAATGCTGGGCTGTATTACATAATATTTACTCACTCATACACACATATATATATAATGCGACATACTAGTACGGGCACAAACGTGACTTGTTTGGGCGACACCTCGTTCTTATATTGCAAAAACCCTTTAGGATAACATTTATTAGTACGCCCCGTAGTACAACATATACGATGTATAGATAGAATTTAATTAACGTTGGAGAACAATAGTTGCAGTATTTCCTATTTATCTTCAAAACATAGGACAAAAATTTTACTAGAACCTATTTCTATAAAATTTTTCTTTTGTCCAGCGACTGATTTTTCTGTACAAATATAATTAGTTACTCATAATTTAATTTCTTTCCCATATAACTTTCATAACTTATAGGTTAAACGAGTTTAAAACGGGATGTCCTTCCCAAAGATAAGTAAATTGTTGTAAGCTCTTCTAGTCGATAATATGGAAGAGTTTTCAGCTAATAGACTGTAATACTCCGCCATCCGGTGGCCAAGATTGTTCTCAACGGTTGCCAGGTGCAAATTGTGTTTCATATAACCCATAACGTAGTGTCTTAAAACCCAGCCCTACATGGACCATTCGGTTTTAATTCTGCGGATATGTGGTTGTGATCTTTTGTTGCCTTTCTTCTTAAATCTAGGACTATAAACCGGATACGCTTAGTTGTCTTATTTTATTTGAAAATAAGATTTTTTTTATTAAGCAAACGTATATGTATATATATGTTTTCCGAGTGCATAATTGTGCGGTACATAAGATTGGTATATGGACTTTGTCACCTTTATGGTCCAACTCTCCGAAAGAAGAGAATGCTCGCTTTCTCGAGATAAATTATATTAACTTCAAGATGAAGTAAATTTATAAAAGCTAAACAGAATTATCACAGGAAACACAGAATTATCAAACTTAACAGCTTTGTTATTACCAATCTTAATTACTCTCAGCCTCGCTTGATTGTTTAGGGAGTGTAACACATTTAAATACTTAAATCCGATGCTAGATAAATAAATGTTAGCTTGGATAAAGACAGGAAAATCTGGGAAGTCACTACCTATGAACAGTACAGTAGAGCATCAATCCGTTTTCATATATATATACTTTTTTCTTATCTATGTATATATATAAGAAAAAAGTCAAAGCTCTCGAGCCTAATAGTTCTGTCAGACATGAAGATCGCTATCTAGGAGACAGACGAATTATACCGCTACATTCGCAGTAGGTGAGAGCATTGCTGGCACTAGATGAAGGTATGCATTGAATGCTATGAAACAATTATAATTACGATTGTGAAAGTGACCGTTGTCCATGTGGAACTATACCAAGTAAATTTTATTACCAGTAAAGCGTTCCATTCTAATAGGACAGATATATGAGGATGTACCAGGATGAATAGAAAACTCGGGGACAGCTTCACTTAACAAACGACCAGTTTAGATTTTTCCGCATAGCTTAGATGGCCGGTAACTCTGTGTCAAACCGACAATTCTCTGTGTCAAACGTACGTCTCCTCATAGTAGTCCAAACTATGAATGTCGCCCTGAACCCATTCCTCACTTTGTTTGTCGTTTGGCAGCTTCACTCTGCCCTTTCCGCCGATGCTACCTCCCTACGCACATAACACGTGATCATCTGCCTGAACGTACGTGCACTTATGAGGCTAGGCAGTAATACTTTGCGGTTGACAGAAATATAGATTACTCTTAAGTTCATAACCAGGAATGTTCGTTTTGTTAGGAATACATTAGATAAACAGAACATTTTCTGTGCACCATGCACTTACCTTCGCCTTTCTTTTGATTTTATGTGCATTTTTACGAGATCGGATTACGTCGAGATATATGTTTGTGGTAAAGGTTGGGCTTTCATTTGCTGCAGCGTGCGAACCGTTCCTGGCTTATGCGCTTGATAACTAAACAGCCACCAATACTTGAGCACAGGATCAGCATGCGTCGCTTCATTTCCTTTTTGATGGTGGAAAACGAATCTTCCAAAAATTGCCCAATTTTAGATTGAAAACATCCACGTTGGCAGATTATTACGGTTTCGCAATATGTGTGGGGCAATACAAGACCCTTCTCCCCCCCCCCTCTTAAGAGACAAACAAACGAAAACTGAAGTTGAAGCTGGCAAACTTATTAAGCCATCCGTAAAACAATCATAAATCTTTGCCTTTATGACAGTTTTTCCCCACGTACCCCCCGTATTCCGATAATATCGGCAAATAGTGCTACGTTTTGACTTTTTAGATTGTTAAGCGAGTGTGCAGATTACTTTGGTTTATAAGGACCTATTAAGCCAGATACATCTTGAAAGACTGTTATAAACATTTTTTTAATAGTACTTCATAGCGTTTCCGACCGAAGACAAATTAACCCGGAAGGTGAACATAGAAATCAAACGGCTCTCATCAGATTATTTGTTCTAGCGCCATTTGCCAATCTTTCTATTTTGTGTAATTTCAAATAATACCGTAATCTGAGCAGGTCTAAACAATGGCGAAGATCCCTTCAAAATGGCTGATACAACTGAATAACTGAAGTAGTAGTCAACAATGGGCTGCAGTCGAGTGCACTGATAAACTCATTTCAGTGGTTTACGTGCGAATATAATGTTTTCTTTGCCGTCAGCCCCAACTCCTGTATTTATGCCTCTGGAGAAACGACGTCATGACCCGACCACAAGACCCAGACAAAAACCTCGAAAACACACTCAAAGTACGCAAGCGACCGAATTAGATTTATACGGAGTTAAATGTTTATATTTAAAAAGAAAACAGTTTTTTTTTTATGTCATACAGAGCGTGTATATATATGGCACTCTGAAGGAACTGACGAATACGCAGGAAATCAGTGAGCTTTCGTTTTTTTGGGCAAATATTTACTGACTAAAAACTACGGTCTTAAAAGTTCTATAGATATTCCTCGTTATAAAGTTTTTATTTCAACTTATTATCGTTTTAAACTTTCTCTACAGGTTTTCAAGGTGAAAACTTATTGTGGTATCAGACTAGCGCAAATGGGGTATTTTGGATTTGTTGCGGAACCGAAAAAATTGCAAAATGCTCTTTTAATTGTCAAAAAATGTTCTATGTATCGCTGACTCATCGAACACATGGAATAGAACTGTGCAGCATTTTTTTAAGTCTTTTAAAGCTTGAAATAGCATCGTTTGGCTTGCTTAAAATGTATATATTCAAACACCTTTCTCTAGATGTAATACACACACTGTTAGGTACGGTAAACCTCATGATGATCATTACGCAATTAATTGGACTGGCCAGATTAGCAGATTCGGTTTCTTCTAAAATCATGTTTACGAAAAAAAAAAGGTGAGGCGACCCCTCCAATGCGCGTACGATTTTTATCCGAGTACGGCTTCTGGATTCACAACTACTGTAAAAACCCATCTATGAGATCAAACCTCCGACTGGGAAACGTATTAGTAAGTCACTCGATGAAAAAAGGCTGAGCGTGTAAAAATACCTAAAAATAAAGCCAGTCTTCAATAGCGATCCAGAAGTAGTATTGGATCTTACTAAACTATGCACGGCCAGAGTGCGAAGACCTAAGGATAATGCAATCCTTTTGTTAAGTATCGTATATTGTGAGAGATGAAAAACAATTTTATTGATCATATGATAGTGTTTGTATTACAAGTTCAATACAGTCCGAAGGAAAAATGTGCCGATCCACTGCTTCTAAATTAGCAGCGCTCCCATATGACATTTGAGTTATCTCTCGTCAGAAGCTCATCTAAGTTTCATAGGGACTTTTGACTGCTGACAGCTGGTTCATGCAGCAGCTTCCAAAAAAGACGTTAAAATAAATTTAATGAGAGTTTCTTTCTTGATAGCTTTGGAAATAAGGACTGTAACCTAACGATATGTAACTGAACGCTTAAAGATAATGAACGTAGATATTATCATTACGAATACTGAATCAGATCGTAGATACGGATAGGGCAGTATTTTCATGTATAAGCGTAGTTTAATTGTATGGCTGTCTGAAAAATTGTTCGCAAATTTGTTATTGCGGGAGAGTTCGACTTCAAAAATCATACAAGATTTGCAGTTCAACTTATATAATTTCAAGCTCGTTTCCTTGCTGTAAAAAGCATGTGGGTGGGAATCGTGCCTCATGCAGATGTCTTCAGTGCTTAACTGATGCGATTTATTGTGACTATTTTTTCACTCACTGGAAGGGTTATCTGTAGCACCTTGGAAAAACACTCTATCCCTAAACGAAGTAAGATCTTATTAACTGAATTGTGTTCTTCTGTGACGCCGTCTAAATGTTTGAGCTACAGTTTGTAGCTATTCATTGCGGGATGTTCAATTCAAATCTGGAAAGGACGACGTGAGTCTTCGTAAATCTTAAGGTTATTAATGAATAATGCATCTTAACTATCTCGGTAGAGATGCCCTTGACCAGCTATTTAAGTGAAGTTAACTGCTCTGTGTATTGGTAGTTTCTCAGCCAAAAGCGTGCCTTTCAAGGCCTGTTTCGAAAAGCATTCTTTAACTTTGTGAAAAACCTTTTGATATGAAGATAGATACCGAATGATCCTTTATGCAGGAATAGTGAGAAATGTAATAACGACTGAATAGCGTTCATGAGAGAAAAAATATTGGTATGTCCGTATTCGTTAAGTTTTGCTCGAGTACGCCATTGCAAAAATATAAATTTGACTCATATTTGGGCTGTTGACGATTCGAAAGCCCCAAAAATATAAAAGTACAGATAATGTAAATGTCCAGTAAAGAATAACATCAGTGTTTTGGGGATTGAGCAATAGGTCATGGATTAACTCGTTCTCAAAATAAGTGCTAATTTCAGCACCGAGCCTTCCGCACTAAGACCTTTAGAAATGAGTTTTCTGTCATTTTTAATAGTCTATTAGTCTATTCGGTGTGGTCCATTCTGGGACCAAGTTGGGGTAGAAATTTTCCGAGATAATTTTGCGTCCACATAGCGTAGCGCAGACCGTCAATTGTAACCTAAAGAGCTTCTAATTTTGCGAATGATGCTTTAAGCATAAAGCCCTTGACGGTATCTTCGTTTAGGTCATACTCATAACAAAGTAACATTGTGGTCTGGTTTCCTGAAAACAAACTAAATCTAGATTTCTTAATTTGGCCGTTAGTAGTACTATTATGAAGCAAGCTAAATGGGTCAGACTTATCTGAGTATATTATTAGATACGGTTGTCTCTGTTTACTGATTCATCCATCAACTGTCTTGTTACGCAGACGGGTGCTGAGAGCTGAATTCAGCAAGAATTCCCCATATCTGACGAGTATATTTCTTGGCTTACTAATATCATCGTTTAAAGCTCAAACTACATCCGTTTGGGCTTACTGTACGCCACTTTATGTCATATACACACTGATAACTATTTCTATTGAGATATAATTTTAGTAACGTATACAGTTGCAATATTTTGCTTTTGTTG